TCTTACAGATCTTTACCAGTATTGAGAGCTATGTACTATTGTGATTTCTTTCCTGTTGCATTATTTTACTGGCTATAGCTACTACATGTAAATGTAATTGATTTTGTTTTTTAATCTTGTATCTAGAAATGTGTTGATCTGTCTTGTTAGTTCTAATTATTTTCCGTACATGATCTTTAATGCTTTATACTGACAAAGATATACTCTATAAATGATGGATAAAATTTTCTCTTCCTTTCAAATCCTTATACCTCTTATTTCTTTTTCACATCTAGTTGGATTGGCTGGGACATCCAGGACAGTGTTGGCTAGTGGCAGTAAGGCAGCCAGGCCTTCCTTTTCCTGATAGGAGAATACCAATTATGTTTTACCATTTAAGAATGACAAGTTTTTGACAGATCATTTTTATCAGGATATCTTACAGGTTTTAACGGGTAACCTTTATTAAGGTAAATATTTTGCTAACAGTATTAAATATCATTTAAAATTATAAATAAGTGCTGAGTTTTATCAAATGCTGGATAATATTTGGTTTTTATCTGTTGATATAATGAATTATATTCATATGAGCCTACTTTCTTCCTTTTGCTAAGGTCAACACCTCCTTTCTGGGACTTCATGCTGCTCATATATAATACTTTATGTATTTCCTTTCACCAATACACCAGGTATCATTGCATTGTCCTTTCTGAACGATTAGCTAAACAAAAACTTGGTAAAATCTTCATAAGGCATTGTTCATACCTGCCCAGAATACAGAAGGAAAGTTCTAGGATTGTATTTATTTTACAAATGAGGGAGGTGTGGCTTATCTGAATTCAAATTCTGGAACCACCCCTTAAGGAATGGTTCCAGAATTTGAATTCAATCTGACTTGCAAGGTGTCTTCCTAGGATCAGAATTTCCTTAAGGGACAGAAATTATTGGGTGCTCGGTGTATTTTGGGTAATCAGCATTTCTGCAAGGTAACAGTGGACTAGAAAATCAGTGTGTCTTTGTGGGGTTAGTGTTTCCTAAGGTGTCAGAAGTACTAGAAGGTCTAAGTATCTTTGGAAGGCTAGCCTGCCCTGTGAGTCAGAGTACCTTGGGACATTAAGATACCCCTCTAGGGTCAAATAACCTAGAAGGCATGTTCATGTGCTCAGAGTAAACAAGGTTTTATGTTATCCAGGGGAATCAATGTGTCTTTACAGAGACCTGATTCACTGGGGTTTCAGGGGGTCCTCGTGTGGTCAGATTGGTACCCTGTGGGTTCACCTTGTCTCAGGATAATAAGCATGCCCATGTAGGTTCTAAGTGTCTTGCAGGATTAGGATGTTTTAAATGGTCAGAGTACCCTGGGGGAACTGGGTGTTTAGAGGATCCAAAAAGACCATATAGGATCAGATGAGCCTGAAAGGTGAGAGTCAGAGAGTCTGGGAGACTTGGGGCATCTTGGGAAGACAGGGATATTGCAGAGACAAGGCGTCATGGGAGGCAGGTGTTCTGGGTCTACAGGCATTTTTAACGTGTCATAACACTTTCAAAGTGTCCAACATCACTAACTTTGAGGTAAGTGCATCCTGGAAAATCAAATTGTTTTCACAGAGTTGGGGTGCTTTGGAGGTTGGTCTGGCTGGGTGATTCATAGACTCCTGGATGTTCTGGGAGTCCAGAGCTGTCAAGATTTTCAAGTAGGTCAGCATATTCTTTTGGTATCTGAATGTATGAAAATTGTATATTCTAAGGAGAACAAAGTTTTCCAGAGATTGGGTAGTCCTTGAGGGTGAATGGACCCATCGTGGAGTACAATGTCAAAGCATCCTTGTACAATCAGAGTATTTTCAGGAATCAGAGAGTCCTGATCAGGGGTGGAGTATGGCAGGGGGGGTGAGAGTATCCAAGAAGTCAAGATATTTGACAGTTCAGGGGATATTATGTATTTTACATAGGAAGTGTTGTAGGGAATGGTTCCCTTCTGAGGCCAGGATTTCTTGAGGGTTAGAATAATCACCTTGTGTGGCTGGGCTCAAGGATTCATACTTATACTCTCAATGACTTGGGAGGCTGAGGCAGGAGGATCACTTGAACCCAGAAGTCTGAGGCTGCAGTGAGCTATGAGGGCACCACTGCACTCCAGCCTGGGTAACAGAGCGAGACTACTTCAAATAAAGAGAATTGACAGTATTATTATCCCTGGAAGATAAAACTAAGACATAGAGATATGAAGTGATGAACTCAAGATCACATAAATAGTAAACGGCACAGCTGGGATTTGAACCATTGGTAGTTTGGCTCCAAAAACCTATGTCCTTAACCGCCATGCCACTCTGCCTCTTCTGGGGAGAGAAGATTCTGGGAGTCAGGCTTCCTTGAAGGTCAGCATTGTGGGTGGGAGACCAAATGCTTCTAAAACCTTCAGTATCCTGAGAGATTATGATATTATGAGACACCAGGTCAAATTTGTAGAATCTCAGTGTCCTTGGAGAACAGGAGTGTTGGGTTAGTTTCTTTGTAATGTCAGAGCGTCCTAGAACAATCTTACTTCCCTGGATGGATGGACAGAGTTCTCTTGCAGAGTCAGAGCATCTCAGGAAGTTCTCCTGCACATCCCAACTGACTGTATGTTACTGGATCCTGCTAGCTTAGGGCTGCCATTGGGTTCAGAGACCTCTAGGAGGTCACAATGTATCCTAGGGTAGAAGGGGAAGGATTGTTGTCTTGAAGCAGTATTTCTCACCTTTACTGTGGTTATGGACTGAATGTTTTTATCCTCCCAGAATTCATACGTTGAAGCCCTAACCCCCAATGTGATGGTATCTGGAGCTGGGGTCTTTGAGAGGTAATTAGGCTGAGATGAGGTTATAAGGATGAGGCCCCGTGGTGGGATTAGTGTTCTTTTAAGAAGAGGAAGAAAGTCCAGAGTTGGTTCTTCTTCTGCCATGTGAAGACACAATGAAGAGGTGGCCATCTGCAAGCCAGGAAGAGAGCCCTCGCTAGGGAGCCAAATAGGCCATCCCTTTGATCTTGGACTTCCCAGCCTTCAGAACTGTGAGAAATAAATGTCTGTTGTTTAAGCCACTCAGTGTATAGTATTTTGTTATGGCAGCCTGAGCTGCCCAAGAATAACATGCATTCAGTTCTCCTGGGGATCTTGCTGTAATGCAGATTCTGATTCAGTAGGATGAAGGTGGGGCCCAGGATTCTCCATTTCTAACAAACTGCCATGTGCTGCTGCTGCTGATCCGTGAACCACATTGTAAGCATCAAGACCACAAAGAGGCCGGGCGCGGTGGCTCACGCCTATAAT